CCACACTTTGTCTATTTTTGCATAATTGTTTGCTTGTTCTCTTCATTATCTCTCCATCTGGAATTCAGCTCCCTGCAGTGATAAACAGGAGGCCCCTCTCAGTCTATTTCTCCTTCCTTCTCTCTCTGCAGCTCCATGTACCTAGATGAGATGTAATTGTGATTAACAGCGCCATGACAGGAGGACACGAGACTTTTGTCATGTCGGAAAAACAAACAAACAAAAACAACGAGATAAAGTGATGGAAATATGTACAACATCTTATCACAGATGCTAATTGTTTCCGTGTGGGAGGGGAGCGTGCCCGTGGATATCAGCGGTGCACGTGAGGGAGGGAGGGAAAGAGGAACTTGAGAATATCCTCCCTGTGCGTTTGGCCTGCGCCTGACTTCAGAGCTAAGCCCTCTCTCAAGAGAAGGTCAACACCAGGTTCAACTTTTCACCTCGGCCGGTCTGAGGGAACACACTAAATACCGAGGATTCCAACAAAGTGCGCGGCAATATGGCCTTCGCTGCAGTTCTGAACAGACCGGCACAGCGCATATCAAAACCACAAAAACTCTATAATGCATTTTCAATTTAAAACAAATACCACAACAAATGATCTTGCAACAGGGTTAGACTAAATGAAAAATAAACATATAGATGGATGTGCTGGAGAAACAAAAGCATAGCTCAGGACGGTTTTGTTGTTATTTTGTTACTCTGATTTCATTGTATTTTCTTGTAAAGCGTCTTTGAGCACTGGGAAAAGCACTATATAAATATGATATATTATTATTAATATGAACAGTATAAATCTGCTTAAATATTGACCTGCAGATACGCAGCTATGTTTTATTTCCCAAATTGGGATCAATAAAGTACTATCTTATCTTATTTACATTATAATCATGCAAGTTGCTTTTTAAAACTTAGATCACTTGCAAACTAAATTAAATGAACACCAATGAACTTGCAAAGTCAGCAGAACATCAAAGGCAACACCATGCTCTCCTGTACTGAAGGGCCCAGTGGGCTGACTACAGCGGCGGGGAGTCGGTGAACCTTGTTTAACTTTTGGGCATCATGTCTCGTGGTGCAATGTATATGAGAGTGTGTGTGAGAATGTTTTAACATGTGTGTGTGTGGGTAAGGCGATGTCAGCGTCGGTCAGGTGTAACGGTACAGACAGACAGGCAGGCGGCCGGCTGGCGTCAGCGGCCACACGCCTGTCACGACACACCACACGCCGAGGAGCCGCATACCGCTGCACCCACACTGCGTACACACAATGAGCGCTCAGTCCCCGCATCATGCACCAGCGGCAGCAGCAATGTGAAATATTCACACAGGGACAAAAGGTAGAGAGCAGGGCGAGGGGGGGGGGAACCTGGGAGGTGAAGACAGAGGAAATGGTTCAAGAAAGTGGAAGAAGTCACATGAAATATTAACTTGTGACAAAGTTGAGCACGCAGACAGGTCTCACTGCACTGATGTTTGAAGGAAAGCATTTTTGCAGGTTAAAGTTTTGCAAACTACAAGAAAAAAAAGTTATCTGGATCATTTTGAGAATAATTAAAACAACCATTTGTTAAAATGTTGTTTGTAAAGGAAAATAAACAGCAATCATTGTTTTAAACAATAAATAATAATAACTTTCTATTAAATCCATTGCAATATGTATTAATCATTATTAGGCGCGGAAAAATTAGTTAGTCAATTGACATTTAATTATTACCATTTTCAATAATCAAGTTATTGTTTCAATCTTATGTTTGGGAGTATGTATAAGAAATATTATACAATTTTTAAATGTTCCTGTTCTTTTTTGCAATATTTAACATCTTTGGTTTTTGTCTGTTAGACAAAAATAATCGATTTGGGCCCAGGAAACTTGTTTTATGGACGATAAAACAACACATAATATAATAAAAATAACTAAATATGAATTCTTATTGAAAGTATTTATCCTTATATGCAGCACTAACACACACAAACTTGATGTCAATCTCCGCCTCAAAATATTCCAGAATTATCCACGTGAAACTAATTATCTTTAAAATGTTGGAACACTTTCACTACAAATAACTTTATAAGAGCTAAAAAACGAAGTATTATTCCTCAGTAGTCAGACTGTGGGACCTGAGCTGAGAGACTACAGATGTACTACAGCTCTCTCCCGCCCTCTGGTGGAGAAGCAGCAGACCTACACTAACGCTCTGCTCTTCTGTATGACCTCCTTAGTGAACTCTACGGCCCGTCCACACACAGGCATGAAAAAAATCTTTCAAAGCTTCGCCCATTCACTTGAATGGGGTGACGTAGAAGATTTTTAATCTTCGCCGAACTGCATTGTGGGGAGCGGAGCAAGGCTTTGCAAGCATCGTGAGCATCAAAAGTTGAGCAATGTTCAACTTTTGATGCTCCCAATGCTTGCGAAGCTGGCATCAGCCAATCAAATCGGTTTATGCAAATCCCGCCAGTACAAGCGCTAGCCAATCAAACCGCGTG